ACCCCACAGCCAGTCCTGACAATTTTCGGTTTAATACATGCTACGGGCCCGCGGCACGCAGCCCCTGAACCACAAGCACGCGCGGAACCCCAAAGCGTCTCCCGAAAAGCCATAAGCGCTCTCGATGTCGCCGAAGACTTCCCGCGACAGATACGAATGGAATCGGACGGCCGTAATGGGGACGTGGCGCGGGCCAAATGACCGCCATCCGGACGTAGACAAAAGCGAGGCCGCCGTAATAAAGCAGGATTGATGAAAAAGCGCTAAGCCCCGCCGATACGGTGGAACGGGACAAGATGCGGGAGGGCAGCGTGTTTCCTTACGTGGACAAATCTCAAGCTACTTTAATTGGAACCATTAATAAAACGTATCCACGCATCTGCAACCCCACGGGTGTTGCAAATGTCCATGGGCGGCGGTTATCACTTAGCATCAGGAACACCAGCTCGCTTACCACCTTCTCACATAAAAAATATTAAGCAGTCCACGTACTGATTACCGCCGCACGTGGCCGTCTTTAACACCCGAGGTTGCTGGACGAGTATGCTCATTCCTGTAACAGCAGAAGCTGTTGAGTGGCCCTACCACTGTTAAGCAGGGAACGGACCTTATATCCACAGCTAAAGCATTGGCTACATAATGCTCATCCAAAATTAGGATAAGTTTATTACGAGATGTGGCGATTCCTTATCGAGATTAAAAACATAACGGAGTATTCTTTACGTTAACATACTACTTTTTTTTCTGAAAGGGAATCGAACTCTTACGTTTAAATGTTGTAAATTATGTAGTTTGCTATGTAAAGCTTCATGCGGTCTATTGGGATTTCTTAGCTGAGGACTTGTGGTGAGGATAATATTAAAATTGACGTAAATTTCTTTATTCACCTAATCAATCTTCAGCTATAATTACTACATTGATGCAGATAAACTCTTTCAAGACTACCCTAGCAGGGGACTGCTACTAGTCGGCTGTTAGCTTTTAAAAGTTCATCCAAGCGTTAGAAGTTATTCATGCAACTTCTAACGCTTGGGCCAAACGCGGAGGCGTCTTCGCAGCGGCTTTAATACAAAGCTATTGCTATTACTGAGATCGCGGCGGCCGGGAGCGGGCATCGAACACCGCCGGGCTTAACTGGACTCACTTTACCGGGATTTCGGATATGACGTAAAGCACTCACTTAGGCCCGTGCGGCGCGCGCTGGCCGACTTTTTCTCCGCGCATTTATTAGCTTAGGTTACGTTCGAGGACGGAACGGGGCTGCGGCGGGATTATCTTCGGAATATGGATGCGGATTACTCGCTCCTCCATTATTTCCGGCGGCTTTATTAAATAAGCGCAAGAAATCGGAGTTCCCACCGAAGCCCAACTTTAATCACGGCTTACGGGATGGCGATGATATGATTATTCCCAAATAAGATTCGTTGGATTTGGACGTTTCTTATCTAGGACCTCGCTTTATCTCCCTTGCTTTATTTTTTCAACAGACAAACATCTGTATATCTTCCACGAAGAGCTTTTAAAAGTCTCAATTCTTTAAATGTTGGTATTATGAGATGAAAAAAAAAATCTACCAAATAGACCCGAATGAGTAGCAACTATTTGGTCGATTTTTTTTTTTCATATCATACTAATATTCAGTATTTATAATCTCGACATTATTTTTGTAGAAAAACTAAACTCAACAGTCTTTTATCTTAAGCTTCTAAAGTATAAAAAAAAAAGAGATATTCACAAATGTATCACATTAAAGATTTTCTTAGCACTCAAAATTTTCAGTAAACTATCTCCGCAAATCTCACTAAGCGTGCGTATACAAAGGCTCAACGAATAAGTTCCAGACGAGAGCTACTTTTCATATCGAGCTGACAGGCATAAGTTCGGTATCCAACAAATCCCAGTGAAACGCCAACATACAAAGGAATTACAATTAAACAAGGCGCGCCAACACAAGCGAGGTACGTCGAAAAAGTAAAGAATCCGACGCAAAGCGTTCACTACTCCTCTAATTAATAATTCAGGCGACCACAAAAAGCGGAACGACCGTTATTTACTGTTGAACCGAAATTAGCGTACTCGCGTTCACCTTTGTCGGGAGGGCACATACAGTACGCCCTAGAGGGACACCTGTCGACCATACGGTCACACAAACATATATTAATAATACGTTAATTTATTAACAAGCGCTGTTTATCCAGGGATTAACCGAGAATAGTTTTAGTTGAACAACAAAGACCCGAAAGGGTTCAAAGCGAATTTCTTGCCGACATATTTACCTAAGGTGATAGTAATTTTACGCGAGGGCGGTCCGAGCTTTGGTTTTGGGCAAACATTCTAACATGTTGTTCATAACTACACCGTATCTAAATTGTCTACGTTGTTTTGGACTTAATTGCTATTGTCCTGCGGATGTAATTGATTTAGGATTGGGTCCCATTCGGATATTTCGTAACATTATATAAAATATAATTATCGAACAATCTATTTGTCTAAATAAAATTAATACTATACAAAAAAAATACTATATTTTATAGGGTAAAGATAAATTTACAGAAACTAGTATTCGCCCACTATTTTATAATATTTAACCATCGCAACAAAAATAATTTTCTTACAGCTTTAATGAGGCATTGCATGTGAAAAACGGTTGGAATATTTCACAACGATATCGTTTTCATTTCACGTTGCTGAACCGGACCATATTACTCCAAGTAAGGTTACGGGAATGTTAAGAAAAAGGCACCTTTACAAATCAAACATGAAACCCTGGCTCCTGGGGTAGCCGCGCAAACAGTCGGGAGATCGCACAAAAGGCGAAAGGTCCGAAACCGAAGCGATGCATCATTAATAAGCCACCGGGCACATTCATTGTTGCACTATATTTAACAGCTACCCTTAGGAAGGACATCGTACGGTCGGCGACGCAGTTGCTGATTTAACTGCTACAGATTAAGAGACTGATGACTACAGCCCCTTTAAGTACACATTCAATTAAAGAATGCTCATGTTTAAATAAAATTGATTATTTGGCTTTTAAAATTAGTAGCAACTATGACCAAACATTTGGTTTCCGTTATCTTAACAAAATTAAGCACAAAATATTAAAAATCGTATTACAAAACGATGAAAACGAACTAGTCCAATCTCAAGATCTTGAAGTTAACAGAGTGAAAATTAGACACAGCATCTGAATTATCAATGAACGACTTAATTACGAGATAATGATCATGGCCCGGCACTAAGTGGAAATTTGTGGACTTGACAGGTGCGATTCTGTGTGGTGGGGTGTAACAAATTAAACTGCTACAATTGAATGGAAAGTAACGTCGAGAACTCTTTGTTGTAGCCACTGGTGAATGCAAATAAAACTATTGTTACAACCGCTACTGGAGGTAATTAATACGAATTGCAAAGCTGCCCGGTCAAATGATAAAATTTTTGTCCTTTGATATTTTACTCATTTATAGTTAACAAATCTACAGTGAGATAGCTGGAATTAATGATACACGTAAGTTCATAAAGTATTACAAGTACGATAGACTTTAATATCTCGGACCATAAGGAAAATTACGCAAATGACATGACAAATTATTAGATTTTTTTTTAAATCTATAATAGAAAACAACTTAACTGTTGAAGTAATAGTGACGTTTTATTAGAAGAGGTTTTGACTTTTGGATTCGTTTTATTTACATTAAATTTGTTTGTTACTTGTTATTGACAAATCTTTAAGACCAGATCAAAATTCAGATTTGAACAAATTTAAGATTTTAGAACAAACCGGTGTTCGTTAGCCTAGTAGAATAAACATATTAAAATTGAAAGTTGATAAATTTTATTTTTCTTGCTAATCATACTATACCTTATAATAATAATTTTGTAGATAAATTTGATAAGCATTTATTCGCTTCGTATTCTAGACGGCACAGTATCTTCTACTTTCTTTCAGTTTTACATCGTTTCTATCTCACTACTCTCTTTCAGTTTTACACTTTGATATACTTTACGTAGGCACATTGTTGTCAAAAATATCACAATTTCTCAGTATTTGGTATATGAGTAATAATGTGGTTGCAAATCAACATTATTATGACCGCTGTGAAGTAGTATCATCTGTAAATAATCGCCTCGCCATTAAAAGTATAAATTGTTCATTAAACAATTAGCGATGCACCAAACTAGTTCGTTCATTTTGTAATGAATCTTTCAACTTTAATAAGTGATAAGTTTACACGTTCGAGGAGCCTACACACGTGGGGCGATTAAATCATGACTAGACTAGATTCTACTACTAGACTCTATAACTTAGGTAGCGTGAAGTAAATGAGTTTTTTTAATTAAAACATGTAGAAAAAGTCCGAAAAGATTGTCGCCGCTGTGGGAATCGAACCCACGTCTTCGGCATTCGCGGCCTGACGCTCTAGCTACTGAGCTAAACGGCTGTTAGCCACAGCGACGAAAATTTTAACGCCTTCTTTCTACATTGTTATTTAGCATTTGAATTTTTTGATTTGAGTTTTTTTTATTATTCATAAGTGACTCGATTAATTGAATTGAATATAAAAATTAGTTAGATGTAACCTCGATATAATTTCGATTATGGTCTTTAGATCTTTTTATATTATAACTAGCGGACCCGACAGACGTTGTCCTGTACACACGACTTAAATCCGATAACTTAAAAAAATTAATAAAAAAATATGTGAATCTAAACCATTCACGAATAAACCTCAAGACACACAATTCATTTCATTAAAATCGGTCCAGCCGTTAAGGAGGAGTTCGGTGACTTACACACGTACAGAAGAATTAATAATTTGTACCATTCTTTACATTTTTTGCTGATATAAATGAAAACATAAGAATCGATGGAAATATTACAAAAAAAATTGTTAACACTTCGAATGATTTCCAAACGCGTCTGTGTTTTTAATAAACCGTTGATTCTGCATAAAGTTTTTCACATCAGCCCTTGTGCGACCGAATTCAAAATGGCGTCATGTAAAACGTACATCGAACACTTGAGACTCGTTCTTCTCGGGTGACGGCCGGCGTCTGAGGGCGGCGGCCGGGGTGCGGGGGCCTTCGTACAGTGGACACTGCACCTTCAATTTACTAATACAAATAGGCGAGAAAGACTCCACGCGCACCACGTTCGTCCACGCGGCCCCAGCGTACCAGTGTCCATTTGTTGCTGTGAAAATTTCGCGTGACGCGGCGTATTCGCACCAAGGTCGCTCCGTTGAACCGATGAGCCGTGACGGCGTAATTCCATTAACTTGTTCCTTTTCGTTTGTAGCGCTCTATCGGATGTCGAAATTAGGGCCGTTTGTGAGATTTTTTTTTTGCCTCGCGACCGTCGAAAGTTGCCTCGCTGGGCGCGCCCAGGTCGAGAAGGCACAATGCACGCTAATCAGCATAGTCGTTCGCTGCGAAAATGTTATTTCCAAGGAGGTGGAGGCCGAGGTTGAGATTTTTAAAAAATGGCGTCGACAAACAGCATTTAATGAACCCCCCCCCCCCCCCTCGCCGTTCCCTCACCGCCGCCTCTCCCATACATCATTAACTGGTGGGGGTGTCGCGTAAACAATCTCGCTCCAGATTCGCGAAAGGGACCGGTTGATAGTAGCAGTAGTGGATTCGTTACACGGAGACCTCGAGTGGAGCCATTGTGAGTCGAGGACGTCTGCGCTGTTGTGTCCGAGATGCGGATAATTGCCCCCGCTGACTGGGAAGGAGGAAAAGTTTTTTTTTTGTATATATACACTTCCCGCTCGGTTGCGTTTGTTTTGAATTTCAATATGCGGCCCATTTTGCAGCACGAGTGATTCGCGTGTGATGGTTTACTTTCTTTAATTTTGCACAGACTAGAAACTTTTCACCTCCTATTTGCTTTAACTACCGCGAATATTTACCAAATAGTTGTTATGCCAAATAGTTGTTATAACGTGAAACCAATAAAAACGGCAAGTATAAATGAAGAATAGATGTGTAGTTCTGCCGCATGGTCATAAATTAAATGAAAATTATCTTCAAATTCTCTTCCTTTTCATTCTTAATTACGAGTAAAATTTATACACACTAATATTAACTTGCTGTATACTGTTTGTATATGTAAACAACTTTATACTGTTTGTACAAAAAAAAAAGGTAAGCAATGAGGCATTAGGCGCAAATGTGTAAAAATTCTGAGATCAAAAGACTACCTCCACTTGCAACATCTATCCAATATAGCCACCACTTGAGTAGTTTATGATTTATACCTCATGGGATGCCCCAACTATTAAACTATTAAATAAAGACATTAATAATCCAACTATCCGCCGCACGTCTGTTCAGACTCTTTGTGGGCCGGAGTCGGGTGCCGGTTTACTGCCAATAAATAACGTCATTACCTGTTCGGGGGACACCGTAAAGCATCTTGAGGAACAATAAGTAAATTTGGGACGTCGTTAATATATATGAACTGGGACGCATCGACCCCGGGTTTACTGCGCGGTTTGAAATGTGCCAAGGGTTAGCTCGCACGATAATACACCGAGCGTCTTCTTGTGACAGGCAATGATATTAAAATAGTTAAGAAAACATAATTGAGTTCATTTCGGGCATATTATGCTTTCAAGTTTTTGTTTTGCCTATAGTTTTTATGACGTAAACCGCTTACTCCGAATTGGGGATGAGTTTCTGTTGTTTTTATTAAGATCAGTTACATAAGTTCAGCATCTCGACGGGTTCGAACTCTTTGGCATCTGTTTTGTTAGACATTTTTATTCAGGCCTAATAATAATCCGAGCTATCAACTATTAACATAATATTCCCTATTAACGTCTAAAGCCCAGTCAATTGAGCACATGAATAGAGATCGCTTATTTGCGTACTAGTGTAGTGACGTTGAGTAAATTTTTTGTGGCCTTACAAATTTTATCAAATTCGGTGACATTCGTCCCAGTCTTCACCGATCCTTTTGTATTAAAATTGATTAACTATACAAATTTAATTATATTCACATTATTCGCCTTCCCCTCATTTTTACGTCTAATTGCAATAATCAGAGGACACCGGGCTCTTTCGCAGAAATCAAACTGGAACATAATCCGCCGCGAACGCCCACCATCTTGAAGTCAACAATGGCTTTCGACTTGTTCTTTGCGTTGCACCGTTATTAAAATCTCGTGAAACAATCGACTCGAAAGCGCACTTCCGCGCTTCGTGTACGTAGTAGGGGACTTGCTTTTTTTCTTCTTCGGAACAGAGTCAATCCCCCTCCGACTTTTGCGAATATTCTCATAGCCTTCCACCTAAATATTGAATATGTAACTATTGGGTTTTCATAAAAACATACTCTGATCCGACATGCTTTAAGCCTGTCGATGAATCGTCAATATGTCCGTGTCTATCGAAGAACATGCGTATATCTATACATGTTTGGTTAGTTTTTTTTTTTAAATAACCATGCGTGGATGTGTTTATAATATTTTTTGCTAGAAAAAGAAGCAGTCACTATTTTTAAACAGACTTCAAAAAAGGAGTAGGTTCTCAAAAGTTCGTTACCTCAAAATTCCGACGCATTATTTAAAAAAATCTTTTTGCATTCGGTTCGGATTAGCTCACACATGGTCTCATATCAACTATATCGGTATTCGACCTTGGGCTCCGGAGGATACATTAGGAACTCCCCCAAATGAAATAGAAAATGTACAGAGAGTGAAATAATTGAAATAGGAATTGAAGTAAGCTTTGTTTTTTGGTAATAAGATAAATAATAACTAAGCATGAGTCACTCCGATTCAGATACAAATATACCTTTTATGTTGGTAGAGAAAATGTTACAGTTTCAAGAGTGATAACTTTCCCTTTCGAGTAGATTACTGTGGTAGGGCCACGCAACACTCTTCGCTGTTGCTCGAATGGTCAGGTCCGTCCGGGGAAGTACCACGGCCTCTTAGAAATCCGGCGTGAAGTGGAAGTGATATACTTCTGCGTTTCGTCCGGTGAGTGAAGTATCCGGGGTCCGCTTTTATAAAAGGTGGCAACGCATCTGCAACCTCACGGGCGGCGGTTATCACTTACCATCAGGTTAACCGCCAGCTCGCTTGCCACCGCCTCACATAAAAAATATAAACATAATATTTACTCGGTACAACGGCACGCTACAATTAGGCAAATCGCACATACCTGTACCATTCATACTTTGACCACGACTGTCCTTGTTGAAGCGGTGAGTGTATCAAGTCTGCACGCGCACTCAATGCATGGAATATTAATACCGGGGCACACCGATGGAGGCCGAACGGATCATTAAGGGATAATTATGACGCCACTTCGCAGGAAGCTGAAGGGTTCCCCCACTCGGAAATCTGATTCTTTCTCCGTTTTCCCCGCGACGGAAGTCGAAAATTTTCGAAACAACTCAGACGGATCGAGAGGTGCGGCTTTTTTGCCGGAGGCCGCGCTCGTTGCGCGACGTTGGAAACAACGGTATTAGTGTCAATACACATTTAACACGTCTTAATGTTACGAGAAACTGTTTATTTTTAACCGGCATTATCATCTTTTTTTTTAACGTTTTTTATAGTGCTAATCTCTGCACTTAAGATTGAACATTAAACATGTAGAAAAAGTACGAAAAGATTATCGCCGCTGTGGGAATCGAACCCACGTCTTCGGCATTCGCGGCCTGACGCTCTAGTGTTAATGCTCAATCTAATGTTCAATCTTAAGTGCAGAGATTAGCACTATAAAAAACTTTAAAAAAATATATAAAAAGCAATGGCGACATCTCTCGTTCGAATTATCGTTGTAAAACGATATTCGAAATTGTTTGTATGCTGGAAAGGATATAACAATAGATGCGCCAAGCATTGCTTCAAATGCTAAATAACAATGTAGAAAGAAGGCGTTAAGATTTTCGTCGCTGTGGCTATCAGCCGTTTAGCTCAATGGCTAGAGCGTCAGGCCGCGAATGCCGAAGACGTGGGTTCGATTCCCACAGCGGCGATAATCTTTTCGTACTTTTTCTACATGTTTAACGGCATTATCATCCTTTTATTTCTAACATAATGTAAGAATTGTCGAGGAAGATACAGTCTTGTCACGGTCGTGAAGATCTCGGTGTGGCAAACGATAAGCTTACATTTTCTTAATATAAGTGTCAAAGAAGCCATTATATTCCTTAACTTATACAAGACTAGCGGACCCGACAGACGTTGTCCTGTCCACACGATTTAAATCCGATAAAAACTTATAAAAAAATATAAAAAAAATGTAGCGGACCGAATTGTGAATCTAATCCATTCTCGAATCGACCTGAAGACAATAAATTTCATTAAAATCGGTCCAGCCGTTAAGGCGTTCAGTGACATACACACGTACAGAAAAATTATATACATATATAAAAATAGGGCTAGTAAGAAAAATGTTTAATAAACATAGTTATCGCGTTTTTATCCGATAGTCCTAAATTATATATTGACTCCTAATGTAGGTTACTTTGAAATTCGTTTCTTAAGAATCGCATTTTACTTTGATGTATTAGCGTAAACGTTTGGAATTTTCCTGGAGTATGAAGTGACGTTATAATCTAGTTAATAGCACAGTTTCTTTCTTTGATATTATAAAATATGAAAGTTTTGCTTAGTATGCGGTAACCAGTGGGTGATACGCAATTATTAAAGACAAGGTGTGATGTTTTACCGCCCAGGTAGTCTCAATAATAAAAAAAATTTTTTTGATCATAAACGTAAAAGCTATAGAAATGCCAAGAACATTAATAAATTTTCATTAAACTTAAGTTCATAACCGTACGTATATTTCGGAACATTAAAAACTATTCATATATAAAACATTTTTATTAATAAAAAAGAAAACATACTTCAAATACGTCCCTCACTATATATGTTTTTGAGGAGTTGCCCCTTATTTATCTCCGAAGTCCAAGTTCTAACACTATTGAAATTAACACGCGAGCTTTACCGTACTCAATGCAGGAAGGAAAATTTTAAAGATCAGTTCATAAGTGGCGGAGTTCTGAGCAGGAATCAAACAAGCATAAACAAATACCACCGAATTGAGAACTTCCTCTTTTTTGGAGTCGCTTGGTTATTTATTAAAAACCTCTGTTATTTAAAACGTAGTTTTCCAATAATCAAATACTCTCAGTTACATGAACAGTTAAGTAAAAAGATGTCACAAATTCACATTTTATTCTCGAGATTTTAACGGAAATTCAAGATTTCAACGGCCGGGGGCATGTTTAGAAATTATACCAACTTTTAATTTATTTATAAACGCCTGCGAAAGCTGTAAGTCTTTTTATAAGCTGTAAGTCTTAATTAAAATTTTGACACTCATATGTCATTGACCTTCTTTTAACCGTCAGTGTATAATTTGAATAGAAGTCGTTAACGACTTAACGACTTAGAAAGATGACCTGATTTATAAGAGTTCTAACGATTTTACCTTGATCCCAATATTTTAACTATAACTGAACTTGAATATTAACAACTATTATAACGACAAGCAGCACTAGTGGTTATATCACGGTCCGGGAACGCAGCCGAAATCCAAGTGCCCACTGCTCCATGCGACCATGTGTCCCTTGGCTCGAGTAGATAAAGTCATATCCGGTATACAGTGTTGCCAGCGCCAACAGATTATACTCCTCTCCTCAGAATATTAATACTCAGAATATTCCTCAGGTCACGCAACAATCTTCGCTGTTGCAAGAATCGGCAGGTCTGTCCAGGAAGAATGATAAATCATAGATCATATTCATAAGATCGGCGTGCGGTGGAAGTGTTATACTTCTGCCTTTCGTCCGGTGTATCCGGGGATCACTTTATTAAAAGGTGGCAACGTGTCTGCAACGGCGGCGGTTATCACTTACCATCAGGTGAACCGACAGCTCGTTTTCCATTTTGTCACGTAAAAAAGTCAGCAATGTATTTGATAGATAATATAAACATTGTTTATTTATCATTTTATATAGTGCGGGATTAATTATATTTCTCTTACATTAGGTCTTAAGTTTGAGGAAGTTTTGTTTGAACCACTATAAAAACGTCACAGACCCCGCAGAGCGGAGTAAACTCACTGACGTGTTCGACGCTCACCCGACAAATCCCTCAAAGGCTACGTAGAGCTACGAAACGCTACGAAGCCGACCTGCGTAGCCGGGTCCTTTCTCAATCGAGGTCCACCTAACGCTATCTGCGATCATCGGCTTAACATGCAAGTTAATGAACACCCGTGGGTATACATATTCGCGCCAACCGTGAAGGGTGTACAGGGGGGGGGGGGGGGCTAGGGTGGGGGGTGGCCGGCGAGCGGAGGTCGGGTGGCGGTGGCCCATCTCGACACGGCGTCTTAAACCCGACTTACACGGCTAGGCTCTTGTAAAATTGCTACCGATATGCGGTTTCGTTATATACCAGTTAAAATCGGGTCCGATGATATCCATCTACGCCCGAATTGAACTGCTTTCTAATAAGAAGGGAGAAAGCAATAATTAACTTGATTAATGTCCACGAAATAAGAATGGGAAATACAATGTATTTAAAAGCATGTACAGTTGATTTTTCTAAACAATTAACTTGTTGTCATTTCTATCTTTTCATAACAGAATTCAGCGTTTCGAAACAATATCGAAGTATGAGAAAAACTATTCACTCACGTGAACATTCATAAGACACTAGCCGATATTGCATGCTCAATAGTGCCTTTTTTGGACTTATTACTGGATAAAGATCAAATCCTTTTTTTTCACAAAAGCCCGGCAATGCATTTGCAACTTGTTGACAACGTCCATGGTCGACAATGATCACCAATCGTCAGGAGAGACGCATTATAGTTAGCTACCTCCTCAATAAAATACCCGAGGGATCATTGTGATTCAAGGATGATGAGGGAACGCCTCATCATTTCCACAATACGAGGCTGTGATTATGTGTTTGCGAATTCTTCGCTAGCTTCCCGCACCATATGTCGCCTGATGTTAGGACTTTCGAATCTGTGACGACACTGGCACAGTATGTACTGGTACAGTAATACGAATGAATATTTAAAAATATAGTTATTGTCACATTAATATCGAGTATCCCATTTCAAGTAAAGGATAGCTGTAGTCGGCCTCGCTTTTCTTTTATACATTTTTTTATGTTAAAAAGTGGTAAGAGAGCTGGCGGTTCACCTAATGTTAAGTGTTTGCCGCCGCCCATGGACATTTGCAACACCCGTAGGGTTGCAGATGCGTTGCCACCTTTTAATAAAGTTTTATACTAATTACGATACAAAGAATAATACTAATCTAAGCAATGTAAAACGGTAGTGCTGCTCTAAAGCAGTTTCAAATTCTTCTAAGTAAATTCTTAAAAATAAATTGTTCTAATTCTAAAATGTTACGCTATATTTTTGTTGCAGGAGACAAGTGCATCTTCAGTGCCCATCTGTTGGTGAAGCGACTTCGTAGTATATTAATAATCAACGGCATGCGATCAATAGCCACAGGGGTGATTCTGTATCGATAATATAATGGTATATTTTTATATTTGCAGCAATTAACAATGGTTTATATAGTTTATTATTTTTGTAATGGGATATTTTTTCATCGGAAGCCACTGCAATACGAAAGGGCACGACTGTGGAAGCTACTGGCTAGGGACCTGTGTGAAATAAAAGTATTATTTATTATTAATACCATTGCGCATTATTTGATAATTGTGTAACCAACGCGCCAACCTCTTCGACGGTGGATATTCGCTTCCAAACTCACCGATATTAACGTTCATGGGCGGCGATTGGCCATTAATCTCTCAAGAAACTAGGAAAAGACATACAATTAGCTCATGTCTTTGTATTTAATCCTGAGACCGCCATTAAAGCGAATACGATGTAATGTTTTCATAGCTTAATTAAGTTCGGCCCGTACACAAAAATACAACGTAATACACTAAACCAACAGGACTTGTCCCCTTTAAGACACCCGTGCCCGAGATCTTAACTAGAATGCCGGTTTAAACGGCTGAAGCACCGACGCCACACACTATCGAGACATTATTAATTAAAATCCCGCTTAGGAAGCCCGCACCTGTCCCCGGGCAATCGGGTTAGACAAAGAAAGGACGGAATCGCCCCGGGACGGTGGCTTCTATCGGGTAATCCCGCCTCGAAGGACCAAGTATCGATGAAACCCCCAATGTTTAGATTAATTCGGTCTCAACAAGGCTTTACTTATTCAAATGCTTATTAAGATGCTCGTGATTATAGACGTTGTTGTAAGAGATTAATATATTAGAAACGATGTTGTTAAAACACGTTTCAACTAATAACTCAAAAACAAGGCATTAGATGAATGAATGACTATACAATAAATATATTTTTTTTTGTGAGGAGATGGCAAGCGAGCACCTAGTGAAAACCGCCGTCCATGGACATTTACAACACCTTACGCCTTATCACAGGTATTGATGATTTAAATAACGCTTCTGTTATCTCCAAACACCACCAAGTTTATGATGATGTTTGCATCCAGACGCAACCAACTAATTATGAATCGAAATATGCACTCGAGTAAATAATAGTATAATGGACCATTAGATTTCGTCTAGGAAATAATCATTCGAAGATTTCCGCTCGAAAACTCCCGACGCAACTCGGCGGCGATCACGCCCGAGCCAATTTGCAGGGCCGCGATAAATAAGCCCACAATCGGAACAAATGGACAGGAGGCGAATTAAAGCGGGCGGTGTATTTCGATTCCCATATATTAGGCGCATCGATCTAGCACGTCTTAGCGAATGCTCGCAAACACGCGATCGTCTTAAGTAACCCTCCGGCCGGATCTCGACCCCACCCGCGGCCGCCAGTGGGTTTCCAGCCGAATTACAACAGTGTTAGGTCGAGATTCGATTGGAGGACGGCAAACGTAACAGCCAATGGACGCTTTAACACCAACGTGTAATGTTACAGCGAAAACTTTTAGTAGACGAGCGATCAACCGTCAACGGATACCGGAAACAATATCAAGCAAAGGAAAGCTTTGATTGGCTTTTGTCTCGAAACCGTGACCAAATAGCGTTGTACTCTGATTCAGTGAGAATTAAACTAAACGCGAACTATACATTCCTGGTATCTTAGCTCGAAATAAAAATATATATTAGTCGTAGGCAGGTTAGTTAATTTGAATAACAAATATTCATAACGTTGGGTTACATTTCAGATATAAAAAGATATTCGAAGGAAGCATGCTACTTTTTTTTGTTATGGAGAAAAGGGGCAAACGAGCAAGAGGCTCACTTGATGGTTAGTGATTACCGCCGCCTATGAACACCTGCAACGCCCGAGGGCTCACAAATGCGTTGCCGGCCTTTTAAGAAAAAGTATGCTCTTTGTCCATGGACCAGTAATCCCAAAGCCCAACGTTTTGGGTTAGATTTCAACAACGTGAGAAAGCTTTTCTTATTCCTTTTAACTTAAAAAAATAACTGTCTCATCATTGGTGAAGCTTTTGTCGAAGATATTTGCTTATCTTTAAGCATCACAATGCCGTACACCCTGTTCTATTTTATCATATCCTTTTTATAAAGGACTTCTCCCATATAACAGGGAACACCACTTAGATCTCGGGCCACGGCACGGTGTGAGGCCCGGCGGACGTTAATGCGGCACAACCGAAAACAAAACAATCCGATGTTCACCTCCTCGCGTCCGGTCCCGTACAGTAAATTTACATTCCCAGCCATCTATCCAAGGAGTCCGTCCGGGCTGGCAATAAAATGTTCTCGAGCCGGAGGAAAACGTCTCGAGGCCATACTCTTGGAGGCGGATAGTGAACACTTTCCAAAGTGAAGAGGTGGGGTGTGTTGACTGCTCTTAATTTTCCCAGACGCGGCTTAGTTATTTACGATTGTTGTTAATTTTTTCGTGGACTTTAACGGTAGTTTAACTTAATCGTTACACATCATTCTGTTAAAAATGAATACGATCTGTGCATCAATAGTTATAATAATATTAAATAGCTTAAACATAACTAATCCAAGACGACAGTAATAAGCCGTATGTAGTTAAGATAATTCCACAGTAGTAGTTAAGTAACTCACACAGTCGCATAATTCCATATCCGAATGGTGTACCTGCATTGACACAGAAATCTTCGAGACTTTGTTAGTGTTTGAATCATCGGTAATCACCCCGTGGTCATCGTCCTATAGGTTAAAAATTAAATAAATTAAACTAAAATTTTTGGAAAAGTTCGAGACCTTGACTTTATCACAGATTATATCATATATGGGTTACGAAAGATTTGGTAAGAGGTTAACGAGTGAATACTGAACTGGAATATATCCTAATCGAAAATCGGACGTAACTTAAAATGTTTATCTCTGCATCTCGAATAAAATAGTGGAGAATTTGTGTTAAAGATAAAGGGTCCCCAAATAAACATTTACCAAATATACCGAAGTCGAATATTTCTTGACAAAATTTCCAGCTACTATAATATACAGTCGGCCCACCTCCGTTTGTTTGTGGGCCGATGTTATCTCGTAATTGTGACAATATTTGGCCACGGCGTCTGAAGTTAGGTGCGCGGTAAATCGGCGGGCCGTTAGCGTTAAACTTTGAGTGTATAAATTTGCTATTCGGTATCTGATCGGCCAAGTCCTATTTGGGCGTTAAGGCCGACGGGTCGGAGGTAAGAAGTGTTAACTGTTAACAATATTGTTCGAGTAATAAAATATATAACGATATTAATTATGTCTTAGTGGCTATATGCTTTGTAAAGAAGTTTATGACAAAGACGATGACTTCTTTACTCGTGTAAAGCATGGTTGAGCAATTTTAATACTGATCCGAAGCAAAGGAACTAAACAAGTTGGAGTTTTCATGTTTGTGAGATTCATTATTGAATACAGCGTAAACTAACTTTTCAAAATACTCTAAGCATCGTATCTTCTGAATTACTTTCAAAGCGCCGAAAGAAAAACATAAGAACAGTATCACTTTCAAGTTTTTAGGTGTAACAGTTCCTAAATATGCAAACTCCTAAGGTGAAAGGAGAATCCATGCTGAAATTAACAAGAGCGCCGGGCAAAGGGCTGCTTTCGGACAATGGGCAATACACGGAGATTCTGTACACTAGAATGGCTTCATTGTTTACACTATTATCCGTCCGAAAATACTATAAAGGTGTATACATAGTGATAGCAGGCAACAATCATGTATAATAATATAGATGACGCCTGTCCGTACTGCGCGGCGTTTAAAATTTTTCCGCTTTATATTATATCACATATTAAAGTGAACGTGTGTGTGTGATATAGAGCGTATGATACGGAAAGAGATAGCAGTCTATAG